CTACCAAACCCGAAGGAGGTTGGGGACCGCTCATTCTTGCTGAATTGGGATTTGACATGCCGACAACTACACCAATTCAAGGGCGGGGGCATCCACCGTTGAATGCGGGACAAGTGTCGGTCCCGTGGCTCGTAACTCACATCCAAAATGAGGTGGAAATCAATGACGAGACTCAGGAAGATCAAGTGGAGAGCTATGCACGCATCTACCTCATTGGTTTGGTGGGTGGATTTCTGTTCCACGACAAGTCAAACAGGTGGATTCAAGGCATATGGTTGCCATTGCTCACTGGTGACTGGGACGCAATCGGGGGAAAAAGTTGGGGATCGGTCGTGTTAGCTGGCATATATAGGGAGCTCTGTACATGCTCGAAGGTGGGAGCGAGACAAGCTGGTGGGGCGATGTTCATCCTCCAGCTCTGGGTATGGGAGCATCTTCCAATGCAGTGGTATCGGAAGTTTACGCTTAGATGGGTGTCAAAGAAAGGTGTTGTGATGGGTTCATTGGTAAGTCATCCTAATCTCCCTCATAGTCTAATTATTTTGTTTTAACAGTTTAATTAATTTTTATTTATTACGTGGATTGCTTAGGTTGATGGCTTGGAACACACCAAGCACACCCTCGATAGTGCTCCAACCATGGATGAGCGCAAGACTTCTTGGTTGCGAAGGCTTATGAACAACCTCCTGAGTTGTACCCGAGAGTAGAGGAGGGATGTTGTTATCCTCCCGTTCTTGCCCCGGCACGCCCATCATTCTGTGATGGTGAGCGCATTGTGCCCCAATTGAGCCCCCACAAAGGAGCAAACGCAAGCCTCTGCCTACGTTTGAAGAGGTGCGTACAACTCATGCAACCGAGCTCCCTGAACCATTTGAGTACGAGTGGGCACCTGCAACGGATGGCGCTGGAGGGTCATCAAGCTCCGGTCCATCTCTGCCACCAGACATTTTCCCTTCAAGGGTTCCCTCAATTCCACCATCAACAATAGAGTCCGATGTATCACACCCCGCAACAACAAACCCCTCACCCCCCCCCCCCCCCCGGATCTACCATCAAGCTACCGGTCCATCTCAGCCACCTCCACCTCCTATAGTAACTCCAGTTGGGTCTCGGGTTAAGAGAAATTCGCGACTAGTCATTGAGCGAGCCCGCCAAGAAGCAGGAGGGGAGATGGGGGAAGAAGGGGTCGAGGGCAACGTAGAGAACGAGGAGGAGGAGGGAGATATGGGGGCCAAAATGAGAGGGAACCAAATGAAACCAACCAGTGAAATTGTCATGCTTTCTTTGTTTATTCTAGTGTTATGTCATTGCAGTGAACTATTCGCGTTTATTTGTTTTTTTCGGTCTTGTGATTTGAGTTTGCATTGTCTTTGAACTATCCATGTTGTGTTTCTCCAGTCATGTCTTGTGTTTTGGCTTCTAGTAATCCATGATATATGTTAGTCTACTTTCTAATTGGACCTCATTTAAATTTATTCCAAATTCATGCCAATCATTAAACAAGCTTACAATTTAAACATCATTACAACTTAATGAAAATTAAGATAGATCACTTTTTCAAGGTTGGTCCTGATTAATATCTGCACCATGCTGGATAGGTTGTCCTGGGCAACGCCTCTTGTCATGGCCAGGTTCTCTGCACTTGCTCCATCTCATTGTGAATCCTTTCAATTCTAGGACGACCCTTGGTGCGTTTTAGGGGCAATGATGGGATAATCAACTTACCAGCGTATATAGGCCAATACGCTTCATCTGGCATGGGACTCAAAGTTGCATCATATGAGTTCCGTATCGCTTGTTCAGTGTAGTAAGGACTCACCAGGTTGCATGTGAACAGGGTATCCTTTCGTTTTGATACTTTTGAAATGTACACTCCCCTTATTCGAAGTGCAGAGTAACCGTTTGGCGATTGTGGCCACGTCTCCCTCCACCCCATAGACCTGTTTCCACTGCAAATATTCTTTTATTGCGGTCGAAAAGAACAACTTTATGCTTACTTGATTTTTCTTCGTTCTTCTGCATTTGAACGAAGACGTCATGTGCTATCGCATGACCAGATAGCTCCCTTCCTATAGCTAGCTGAAGCCGAGCCACCCGCCACTCGTTGACCTTCCAGTATGATATCTCCACTATGACAGAAACATGCATCGCTTGATGGCCCTTGTACACATTATTTATACTTTCTCCATGGCTGGTAGTTGCAATGCCCCATCTGGCCCCGTTGTCCATATGGAACGTCCACATGGCCAACTCTTGACCTTCAGTCCATACTGCTCCAGCTCGGTGGGTCTGACGGATCGTCTTTATCTTCTGCTAGTACTTTTTTTATTGAAGTGCAACCGCTGCAAGGTGAACAAAAGCAAACTGGTCAATACATGATAAATAATAAATTATTAAATAAATAGTTAACTGGCATTAAAGGACATTAGTACCTGCATTCCAAAATTTATTTTTGATGTCTTTCTTCTTCCCAAATTTGTGTTGGAAATTGGCGAGCCAGTGTCGAATACACCAGCGCCATGTCCATCCCCACTCGTCAGGAAAACCACCCACGACATTCCTAATCCACGCGTGTCGATCTGATATAATCGTAATACCCTCACGCTGTGTCACGTGTTCGTGTAGTTGGTCAAAGAACCATGCCCAACTTAAGATGTTCTCCCTTCCACTAATGCAAATGCGTGGGAAAATCCGCCTGTTTCCATCAACGCCAGTGGCAATGAGAAGAGTTCCTATGTACTTCCCAGTAAGGAAAGTTCCATCAAGCTAATTAAAAATTAGGATCTAATTAGTATGAAATTTACTTAGCAGGAAAGAATACAACATTTCAAACATAAATCAGTTATTAAAATACCTGAATAACTGGTATGCAGAACGCAAACCCGTCAATGCATGGTTTGAAAGCCCAAAAAAGACGGTGAAACATCAACTTCTCCTCTACTCGAACTTGATCCTCAGTGTATACATTGTTGTATACTGGCACAAAAATAGTCCCAGGGTTGGACTCCTCCATTGCGGCTATAAGTCTAGGGAGTAAAGCATACGAATCATCCCAATCACCATACACCTCAGCCATGGCTTTCTGCTTTCCATGCCATGCTTTTTTGTACATTATCGTGTAAGAATGTCGATCCTTCACCTCGGTCATGATAGTTTTGACCTTGATATCTGGTTGTAATAAGGTGCTTAACAGTTCTCCCAACTTTCTTTTCTTTAAGTTGCCTGTGATCATGGGAAAGTATGGACGAGTAGCAAGTGTGGTTGGTCAGGCACCCTTTCTCTTCATATTTGCAGCCCGCAGTTGCCACAAACAGCCCTCTGCATCATTCTTGCATATGACATGTAGTTGTTTACTGTTCGAATATTTTACATTCCACTCAAAATTGCGCCTCAATTCCTCTTTGGTAAAAGCATCCTGCACAGGGTCCTTCGATGTGAACGCCATACCCACCTCCAAATTGATCCCGTTGCGCGTATTCTTCCGATGGCACCCATCCTGCACTACTATCTCCACCGTAGTTGCTTGAACTACCACCCTCTCTGTAACCTCCTGTATAACCATCTCCTTCGTAGTTGCTCGAACTACCACCCCCATCTGTACCCTCCTGCAAAACCATCATCATAAGAATACTGGTGAGAATGAGTTTCACCGACCGCCTCGGTCTCAACATACACCTCTGCAATCTGCATCCTGTTATCGCTTAGGAACTGTAACATCATCGTAACTGCGTCATCATCGTTTATGAAAACTTCTTGGTACACAACCCCGCCAGCACTCATGTCTGGATACCGGTAACTAATTTTACCAAGTCTTCTGTCCGCTCGTACAAACCCTGTCTGCACAAATATCACAGAGTTCTCTAAAATTGAATCGCGACCAATTTTCGGCATAGTGGATTCACCGTCCTCATAATCAATCCCTATGTCAGAGTTTGTCACCCTTCCATTCCACCGAATAATAAGCTAAAACTTCTTGAATTTACCCATATCTACAATTTACAATAAGTAACTATAATCTTAATTCCAGTAAAATTAACCAAAACCGTATTTTACGTCTAATATTACTCCATCTCATAACTAACATAACATAAATTCAACTAACTAACAACAGCATAAATTCCCCAACTAATAGAACATATTTGCTACGATAAGTAATTCATATAACAATATAACTACTAAAAACATCATTAGGCTACAATACAAAAATTAAATTATACTGAAAATTCATGTTCTGTGTATGTTGCTCGGTTTTGGTTGCTGAAATTTGAAGAGGGAGAGGGGTTACATTTTTACAACTGCTGGTGGGAGTGGTATTTATAAGAAAATCGGCCAGCATTCACCGCGTTTGTCTCCAACGGTGAACACTATCACCGCGTTGCCCTAAGGCGGTGAATATTAGGTGGTTGTGACCTAATTTTCACCTACCAGGGATGGGAAACGTGGGAAACAATCACCGCCGTAACCTAGGGAGGTGAAGTTATTCCCCGCTTTGCCCTAAAATGGTGACTTATTTACAATTTTCAACAAACACGGTGAAGTCTTCACCGTTTACTTTTAACGCGGTGACTTAATCACATTTTTCTTAACCACGGTAAATACGTCATCGTTTTAAATTAAAACAGTGAATTGTTCACCGTGTTTGTTTGACACGGTGATTATGTTCACTGCGTTAGACACAAACGGTAAATGTGAAATATGTGTATTTTGAAAAAAAAAATTCATAACATATGTATTTTGGAAAATATTTTTAAGTACTAGTGTACTTTAGCATTTTTTTTTCCCTGATAATAGCTAAACATAAAAATTCTTAAATGGGAGAGTGAGGTAAAAGGTCTACCGAAATTGAGTAGTTTAGAAGAAAGGTATATAAGTGAATGAAAAGCAAACCATCTGGAGATTGTCTACTTGCATTTGGAGAAGTTTGGAGCTACTAATAAATAATAATAACTCACATTTTTCTCATTTATAATTCAAAAGAGTAATTTTGTATACACTGATTAATATTAATTAACATTATATTAACAATTAAAAATTACGAACAAATAATATGATAATTGAATGGAAGCCAATCTCACGAGCTAATTAATTAGCCATTCTCAAATAAAGTTGGTACACTCATTAATGAGTCGAAACTCCAATCAAACTAGTCTAACACTAGCCAAGCATCTCATAAAAAACCCGTGCGCCATGCCAAATCACAATTCAACTGGACTCATTTGACCCCTAATTTAGTTATTTTATAACAAAGGACAACCTCGTTGACTCGCTACAACTGACTAACGTCTCACCGGATTCGGATGATTTTCAACAAGCAAATATTCCACAACTGATGGAAGATAAAAACAAAATTGATATGGAAAGCATTCAAACTTGCTACTCAATGAGTCGAGACGGTCCAATACAATTCGGCAGCCATGCAAGAAGCACACATACATTCTTGACAGACACGAAATCTACACCAAGTGAAAGCAGCAATCACACTACCACACAATCTGGGGGGTAATAACTTCACTTCACAATCATAGAGAGATCATCACATATTTGACAAAATAGAAGGGGCTGGACATGTAAAAAGAACGGAGCATTGTGAGCACTGGGATAGAAGAAGGGAGAGAAGACTTGCCCCTTACAGATGTGTTTCCTACAAACCTACAATCTAAACATCAAACTAGAAATCCATACCCCCGTCACATTATGACTAACTCTCCAAGTTAGAAGACGAAGAAGCAACTTCCACTTCACACTGGCAGTATACCAGTTCATCCTCCAAAGTTCTCTACACCTCGACCTTACTCGTCATCATCTTCCTCCTGCCAGGGGAAACCAATGGCGATTCAGTAGGGTTTTAGAATACAACATTCCAAAAGTTCAAGATCATAAAATGAGAGAGCTACGAATTTGGATTCAGCGTAACCTCTCCGCTGTCATCTTCATTATCATTTACTTCAGATTTGGACTTGTCAGAGTCATCATCACCATGAACTCCAGCCTATTATTCATTACCAATCGAATTCAGGACAGAAACTGGAAGAACGAAATCTGAAATATAAACAGGAAGCTATACCGGGACTAACTGAAGAAGAGAATAATTAAGCAGTACCTGTTTCTTGTTGTAAGCATCCATGGTCTTCTCATATTCAGCCTTCCTTTTGTCGGCTTTAGCCTTGTAAGGAGCCTTGTCCTGATTTTAACATGCACGCAATCAAAGTAAGCGACGGAATGAAAAGCAGAGCATAAACATGAGCATAAGGCGGAGCCGCAAAAAATACTCACTGCCTCAGTCATAGCCTTCCACCTCTCGCCGGCAGCTTTTCCGACCTAAACCGGTTGGAGAAAAAACGAAACAGATTACACCAGTGCACAAGAGAAACGATCATTTGAATTAAGCAATCAATCGGTCACAGATGCAAATTCACGGATCGGAATAATTCTCATTCCGAGAGATCCACACGTAGGCCACAGAACAGAGTTATTTAACTTACAGCAGCGACAGATTTGTTGTTAGGATTCTTCTCCTTGAACTCCTTCCTGAATTCCTCCCTGGTAGCAGTTGGCAGAAACACAAACAGTAAGGGCGAGAGCGCAGATTATGAAGGCCAGCCAATCAACAAGCGGAAGGAAGTTGCGGAATCAAACGAATATATGAAGAACGAAAACCGAAATCGCATACATGAAGACGAAGAAAGCACTGGGAGGCCTCTTAGGCTTGTTTGGATCCTTAACTGCCTTCTTCGATCTTCCAGCCGCTTTCGGCTTCAACCTGCACAGCAAAATTCAAACGAACATCATAATCAGTTCCGCCGAACGACGAGCGGAAAAAAGAAGAGCAGATCAAAATCAATGGAACTAGGACGCTCATAGATCTGGAATCGCAACGAAGCCACAACCGGAATACAAGAAGCAGAGAGAGAGACAGAGAGATGCAACTCACGCGGCGTCAGTTCTCTTGCCATCAGCCTTCGATTTGACTCCTTTCATTACGATTCGATTCCTGCAGAAGCGAAAAGAAGGAGAAGGAATCAGGACTCAACGAGAGCAGGAAAACGAGGAGACCGAGAGTGGAAACGTCTTCCGGCGCCGGCGGAAGGACTCATTGCTTACCTGCTGTACCTAGTGTTATTTTGAGAAAGAGGCGGGGGAGAAGGAAAGAGGGAGCGAGAGAACAAGAGAGAATCGGCGGCAGGAGAGTCGTGATTTGTTTTGGGAGAGAAGAGGTTTAGAGGAAAAGAGCAAAAGAGAGAGGTGGGGAGATAAGAAGGGAAGGGTTGGGAAAGGGTAAAATAAGAGCAAGGGTCTTTTTAGTAAACACTGAAGAATTGGAAAAGCTAAAAAATTGAAATCCCGTGGAAGTCGCGGGCTCGGGCGGGATTTCAAAAAGGAAATTTAGAATTTGGCCACGTCAGCGATCCGAGTGGTCTTGTTGAGATGCGATGAGAGTGAGTCGCCACATGCCACTAGGGCGCGTTGGATTGGGAAGATATTTACATTCAAAGTGGGGCCCATAGATGTGCAACTGCAACGAATGTGCGGTTGGGGTTCGCAAACCGATATTCCACTCTCCTCTTCGCGCGTGTGGCGTGACAGCGGGCGGGTTGGTCGACGCGTGTCCGATACGGAAAGTAAAAGTGGCTGGGCCGAAGTAAAGAAAGCGAGCCCAAAGTTCTAAATTCTGCAGAATAGAAGGGCAGGCCCACAAGAAGAGAAGCCCAATTACGTGGTATCCTCAGTGACGTATCCGTTGCGTCGTCTGTACCAAAGGAGAAGAGGAAGAACAAAACAAACCGAAACAACGAACGATCGAAAACGGAAAGTTTCCGAAAGAAGGAGAAGGCGCGGCCCTTGGAGATTTCCCGTTCTACTCCGAGATCGAACCATGGAAGGCGACGAGGCTCCGCTGCAACGCCAAAGGTCTATCGTGGCTCCTCTGATCTTCTCCATCGTCGTATTGTTCCAGCTGGCCTCGAGAAGGTTGGAGCTCCTGAAGAGGGTAAATTATCCATCTCCCTTCTCCTCCAGTTCAATTGATTCGAATTTCTGGTCTAGCTAAGATCCGATAATGAAATGGCGATCTTCGTTACAATTTCCCGTATGCTCTTTCTGTGGATCCCTGCGCCAGTTATGGATCCTTTGCGTGTTTCGTGATTTTGGCTATCTGGTTGGTTCGTGTGTGCTTTATCAATTTACCAGGAATTAGATGGCCTAATTTACGGACCTCATATTTGCTTGACGAATTCATCTATGGAGGCTGACTTGTTGTGTTTACAGAACGCCTCTAAGAGCGAGAAGGAAGTTCAACTGCGTGCCGAAATAAAAAGACTCTACAAAGAGGCCAGCACATTCTCACAGTGAGTGATTTCCTTGTTCATTTTGAGTCATAGATTATTGGTGAGTGCATTCGTTTGGAACCTTCTTTCTACCGATATGATTAGAGCGATTATGTTCCTCAGAGTAATCAGCATGTGGAACCTTCTTATTGATCTGCTTCCATCTTAACAATGCATGTACCAAGTCCTGAGCTTCCATTGTGGCTTATTGTGCTTCTTCAGCTCCTCTAGTTATTGTTTACTGAGGGTGCTAAACTTTTTAATGTGTTTATTGACAGGCCATCGACGTTTGCTCAAGCGGCCAAACTTAGGAGGTTGGCAGCTGCTAAAGAGAAGGAACTCACAAACTGTAAGGCTACTGGATCAGTATTATCTATTGCTAAATGTTATCTGAGAAACTTGGAAGATCATTATGATTCTTCAGGCCATGTACTTGGCTGCTCCATAGGTGTGGAATATGATGCTTTAGATTGTGATATTCAATGGAGAATCGATGATGTTCAGGAAGGCGTGTTTTTTTATGGATATGTCTCTTTTCCCTAATCTAGACATGCATTTCTGTTTGGAGTTTCTATGCTAAAGAATTGTTATCGATTATTAACTCCGTTTTTGTTTGTGCCCTTCTAGATCAAGAGTCACAGGGCAAGGAGGTGAAAATGTCTTATGATTTGTACTTAAAGATTTTGTTTATCTTAAAGGTGCTTATGCGTAATATTCTTTTTGTAACTGTTGCTAGATTGATTGATTTGTCATAGCAGAAACATAACCCAAATTCTTGAGAAACTGAGAAGATTTTGATTTGGTGCACAGGTTATTGCGTATTTTCTTTTCATTTGTTGGTATTGGAGGGCTCCAGTTGCAGTAGTGTCTCAGCAACTTGTGCAGCCATTTGGTAAGGATTTTTCCTCTCTTATACGACTCTTCCTTAATCTCCTGCATTAAGCTCTTTTCAATGATAGTGTTCCTTGGTTTCATTTCAATCCTTTCATCTATTTACAGGGAAGCTTCTTTCCTGGACTGCTGGTGACCACTTAACTAACAATGTTACGGTAATTCTGTGATGTCTCCTTTGACTTTAACCGTAACATGTTCTGAATAAGTGTGAGCCTTATGCATTCGAACTACATTTTTCTTTTTGGTCACCCTATTGTTCTTTCCTTATAGTCAGTTCATTAGAGTTATTACCAGCAGAAAGGGACCTCCAAAGCCGATCCTTCAGATCCGACATGGTTGTTTCTTTGCTAACAGGTTTCGTGTTGAAATGTTCAAATCAGTTTAGAGAGTGAGGAATCTAATGTTCCTTTGACGATAGGTTTTGTGGTTGAAATCTTCTGTTCAGTTTAGACAGTGATGAACCTAATGTTCTGCCTTCATTTCCCCACTTTGTTTGCTTGATGAATCTTGAAGACACTTTTGTTGATTCTAGCCTTTGTATTATTATGAATTCATAGTCTTTTCGATTTAAAAGCTTAAGCTCTCGACTGTTTTTTGACATTGTATGTGATGTTGCTGCAGGTTGGTGTTATACCTTGGTTGATATTATCTACCAGGGTCAGTAAATTCGTTGCTCGGATCCTTAAGTAGAACAAGTTACTTGATGAATACAAGGACAACTGATCATACTATGCCTTCGATTGAAACAAAACAACTGATTGCACATCTTGCATTCTCGTGTAAACAAACAGGATGAGGGATTTGGGAGAAGTCTGTTCCCTTGTATCAGAATCTATAAGAGGTCATTTCTTTCTTTCTTTTTTTTTTTTTCCTTGATGAACTTGTATATTGAAGTTTTGGTATATAGCGAGCCCGCAATAGTGATACTTGCGAGACCTTTCTCCGCATTTTGGCTTAGATGAAGGTGTAGTATTCTTGCAAGTTTTCCTTTACGGAAGTGCAAACATCAAGCTAACAAGTAATAACTGTGTACCTTAACGCAAGATTTTGGCGCTTTTTTCTTTATTTGGGGAGTGAAACTATAACTGTTGCATTCTTATTATAAACTCACTTGATTTTTTAATTTCATGTCAATCTTGATTTGGTTGATCGCTTTGTGATTCAGAGATCTAGACAATATCTAAACATGTCCGCTAGAAGAAAATGCTAAATGCAGAGTCTTATGCTTCACAGGTTGAGCGTAGAGTTGGCTTAGTGCTAGAAACATGTTTACTGATATTATTATATTATTATTATTATTATTATCATTATTATTATATTAGTCATTTAAGCCTTTAGGGTAGGGCTCGAGATCGGATTGGTTAGTCTGATCACTTTGTTGAATTTAAAGTGTTTTCACTACGTTCAGAGCAAATACGAGTTAAACTGAAGTACTTCTTGGTTATTTTAGTGCTAGCTCAAAAAGATTTAAAGAATATGTGATCTAAGTTATGAAATACTTGTACCTACTATCCTATCATTTTGTAAATTTGGGAAAACAAACCAAAGCTTTGCTTCCCTGCATGTGAAAGAAATAATAGTTAACAAACCAAAGCTTTGCTTCCCTGCATGTGAAAGAAATAATAGTTGTCTGAACGTGTCTCTTTAAAATTAGGCAAAATGCAGCGGTATATCCACAACTATCAGGTTTGTGACAAATATATTCATAATTATCGAAATACACGAAATATCAATTTCCATCCACTCCGTTAATTCCGTCAGTTAACTTGATGACTGGACAGACGGTGGATTCTTAGTTGGCGTGCTTCTGGCCCCACTAAATGACGTGGATTAAAAGAGAAAAAATTTTGGCAAAATACAGTTGTATATCCACAACTATCAGGTTTGTGACAAATATATCCACGACTATCGAAATACACGAAATATCCAAAAATCGGAAGGTTGTGTAACAAATCTATCCACTTTTGTCTGAAACTATAACGGCATGTCAGAAATCGTTAAATTGAATAAAAAAATGCTGAATCGATGCCATCTCACCTGCCATAAGCCAAAAAGCAACCAAACTTTACATCGTTATCTGTTAGACCTCGATGTTGTAGTCTTCTCTGTTGGCGATTTGGTTAGATTCAAACTTGGTATCACCATGGCACCGACTGCATGGAAGCCGTCAGAGTAAAAGGGAGGCAATGGTTAGGGATTGTGGTTGGAATCAAAATCTGGGCTTGGGATAGGGTTATATGGGGGTGGAGGCGTCGATCGGAGGAGGATCAGTGGTTATCGGGCGTGTTTCTAGGTTGGATTTTTAGTCTCGCTGTCTGTGGTTTTTAGGGTTTTTAATTATTTTTCTCTTTTAATCCACGTCATTCAGTAGGGTCAGAAACACGTCAACTAAGCATCCACCGTTTGTCCAATCATCAAGTTAACTGACAGAGTGGACGGAAATGGATATTTCGTATATTTCGATAGTTGTGGATATATTTGTCACAAACCTGATAGTGGTGGATATATTTGTCACAAACCTGATAGTTGTGGATATACAGTTGTATTTTGCCTTTATTCAACTAGCCTATTTGGCATCTACGTGTAAAGTTTGGTTGCTTTTTGGCTTATGTGGCAGGTGAGTTGGCATCGATTCAGCATTTCGTTAGTCAATTTAACGCCGTCTGACACGCCGTTATAGTTTCAGACGAAAGTGGATAGATTTGTCACACAACCTTCCGATTTTTGGATATTTCGTGTATTTCGATAGTTGTGGATATATTTGTCACAAACCTGATAGTTGTGGATATACAGCTGTATTTTGCCTTAAAATTAATATCAAACATCAGCAGAAAAGCAAGAAGTATCAACAGGCAAGACCCAAACAATGCAAATAAGTAACATGAAAGGTTGTTTTCAATCAACATAAAACAACTAATTTATGAGGGTGTCAATAGATAAACCCAGTTAAGGTTGCTTACTCCTTCGAGCTATCGTTTTTACCCCCTCTTTTTTTACTGCATTAGTCAAATCTTACTGCCTAGTTGCTTACTTGTTTTGTAGTGTCACACAACCTTCCGATTTTTGGATATTTCGTGTATTTCGATAGTTGTGGATATATTTGTCACAAACCTGATAGTTGTGGATATACAGCTGTATTTTGCCTTAAAATTAATATCAAACATCAGCAGAAAAGCAAGAAGTATCAACAGGCAAGACCCAAACAATGCAAATAAGTAACATGAAAGGTTGTTTTCAATCAACATAAAACAACTAATTTATGAGGGTGTCAATAGATAAACCCAGTTAAGGTTGCTTACTCCTTCGAGCTATCGTTTTTACCCCCTCTTTTTTTACTGCATTAGTCAAATCTT